TTTTTATTTCAATTTAGTTGCGCATGCAAAGCTATTAAAAGGCTAATAAACCTGTATAAACAGTTATTTGCATGACATTTGACATGCCACTCAAGTGAGTCCAACGACTGTCAGCACCACAGCAGCGTCAGAAGCACGCGGTCTTGACACCTCGTTTGTCAATAAACCAAGAAAGTTTCACCTCAAAGATAACCCAATTAAAATTTTAAAAATAAAAGCGTAAGGAATAATTGATTCCTTAGCAACATTCAATGTTAACCAACATTTCATAGAAAGCAACATTTCATGTTTACCTACATTTTAAATTGAGAACAATTTGATCCATACTAACATTTTATGTCCAACAACATATTCTTGATATTTGGTATATTGATGTAATTTTCACTGTAACGCAAAACCCGCGAAGGAGCCATAAGTTTACTAACCAGAAGGTATACAAGGCAGTCCTCACTAATTCTCTATGTAGACACCCACCAGATTTGCCTTCTCCTGTAGTAGAAGTGGGTAATCTGGCAGACATTTCCACAAATTATTGTTCAGAAGCGTATACGACGAAATAGGCGGTGGTTAGCAGGGTTGGACACGCTCTGGAAGTAATGTAAAAACCTCTTAAATAGGAAAAATAGAGAATGTCTCTACTGAGAATTTTAAAAGGTCAAAAAGCTTATTGGAATGGCAAAAAGATAATCTTGGAGCGATTTGCGCAGTGATACTTAGTAAGAGAAACTAAAAGACTAGGTCGCTTTCGTTTTAGCATGTTTAGAAATGATCATGAAAAGCTGTCGTTTGCGGACCACTTATAAGAAACTGTTTTCAAATTATTTGTGTGACTATTAGAAAGGAAAAGCAATAGCTATTAACCTGCATAGACTGTTTTCCTCACTGAACACCCTTTTACAATAAAGACTTCCGTCTTGTTACCGTCCTAGGGTATTGATAATAATCTATCGGCATTCCTTCACTGTGATTAAACAACCCATTGATCTTAATTAGAACCATTAATGCAAAGCTAAAAGGGTTTCAAGTATCCATAGATGCACTCAATACGTTGAGTTAAACTTGTTCTTATCAGGAATGAATTCAGTGCGAGGTAAATTCAATGCCTATTCCGATGACATAAGCCTAGCATATAGAGGCGATTGCCACAATCCATATATGGCTGATAGAGGAGACAAATCAAAAGGTATACTCCTGCAACTGAGTTAATACACGAGGAGCTGCTACATCTTTTCTATAAATCATCGAAGGTAGACCGAATTTCTAGGAGTTATCTCGAAAGATAAACTGAAAAACTGAATAGTTCACAGGCGTCGTAAGGCTGCTTCTCCCCTTTATACACTAACTGCAATATCCGGTAACATCCGACTAGACATTTGGGATAACAGTCAGAAATGGCAGCGATACACTGAAGGGAAACAAACCAATGAAGCACTAAACCATTGGGATACTCAAATCGGCTGTGATGTATTTTCGAGAAATCCTACTTTTTTCAGACTACCCGAGCAATGAAGTAATTTTCAGAGAGAAATCTTTGCTATTCCTTACAAAGTTCCTCGATTATAGGAGCTCCTTGGGAAACTGGGATAGAAAAAGGTCACGAGAAGGGACCTATCCAAGATATTAGGTATTCCGATAGGCCACTAACTGATCTGTCTGAGGACAACATGAAGAAGCACATGCAACTTCTTATATGAGCTGATGGATTGTTGCAAGAATTACGCATAGAGTAAGATTAGATGTAATCGACGCGAATCAGCGTTAGTCAGAAACCAACCTTTGATTTTTTATATTCAACAAGAACAACAACACTTCCATTTTCTCTGTTGTTTGTGAAGCAACAAAAAAAAAAATACAGTTATCACATTTAAAACAAAATATATTACATAACAAAGCGAGTTATTGAATCTTAATAACAGAAAACAAATCAAGCTCCGCCGCAGTTTTTGAAATTATTTCATTGTAACATAAGAAATATTAAAAAAAAAATTAGTATTTTACATACTCACCGCTTAATAACTATTTGCTTGCTATAATTGCTTTTGCGTTTTAATTGAGCTCTCGTTGTAGGCTTTTTTAATTCTTAAAATGATAGAATGCTTACTAGTAATGTGCTTTCAATCTCTACCTACTTTTAATTGCAGGAAAGAAATCTATTGATTTCTCAGATAGCGACAACATACTCGAGTGCATTATTTTCTTTGAGAAACAGTCTTATATAAGTAAAAATAGGTCATTATTACTCACGTCCATTAAAGTCATAATTTTTTATGCATTTCGATCGTAGATTTATTATTAATTGCACATTCGGTAAAAAAAAATTAAAAATTTCCTGGAAACCATTAAAGTCGTGTTAGTAAACTATTAGCACGTGCCTGGAACACAGTGTTGCGATTCCATAAAAACTTCGACCACAAACAGTTATTGCCCTTTTATTTCGCTCTAATTTGTTACAGGTGTCTTAATTGTAATAGAGGGAATAAATATGAATTATTAAAAAAATTTAAAATTTTTACGTGATATTTGGTCCCGTTTTTGTCAATTAAATTCAATTAAAATAATTTCAATTAATTTCCCTGTTCAAAAGCTGAATTATGGTAAGAATATTTTTAACAATTCCATTTCATATTTCTTTCATAAAATTACGTATACAAAACTACTCAATCAAATCTCCACTCATATTTTGTGTTTTCTTACTTGCGAATCCGACGTACTTAAGACACTGTGCGAAACTGAGAAACTGCTGACTGCAGACAAATCACTTTATATTTTGCTTTAATATGGTGATTATAATTCATAATCTCTCATTAGAATAGCTGGCTGATATAATGTGTTACATCGTTCCTCAATGAGAGTACAATAGTCCATACCTTCAGTGTCTCGGCTAGTGAATAATGTGAAAGATCGTAGCCTGATTGCGAAAATTTCAAATTTCTCAAAAGAAACCATTGCTCTGAGATTCCTCAACCAAGGTCCGGCTGAAATAAAAAGCTTTAAGTATCAATTACGATCGGAACTATAACAGATTTCCTTCGAAAGTGCGTTGGGTGTTTCGGAATTGGTCACAGTTTATTAAATGTAGGTATGTTTCCAACGACCTCATCCCATTTTTATTCAACTATTTAAATAGAAAGAGGAAGTATTAGCTAAAAGCTCTATACAATGAAATTTTCCAGTGAACCACAAAATGGATCGGTATAAAATGGAAAAAAAACGCAGTCACCTGCAGGACAGTTGAAAACCTGGTGGAATTAGATGAACGATTATGGCAGTGACACATGTAGGACATGTAGGAAGACACCTCTATTTGAACATTTTCAAGACGAATATTTAACTCACTTTAAGTTTTTTATTTTTATTTTGCCTAAATTTCTATAAACGACATTGGACTCCTCTCTTCAGTGAGTGCTATTAATTGTTCTTTGTTTTAATTCACGCAGTTTGTGCATAAATAATATCAGCCCGGCGGAAATATACTAAATATTGTGCACAATCCAAAGTCGCGTCATCAAAACCGCATCATAACACCAAAAGGAAGAGCTTTTTAACTGAGCCTTAAGGCCCGCGCAAGAGATGAATAGTACCTCTCCCAGATATGTAATTTGAAATATTTTATTGTAACTTTGCAACTTTATTGTTCTTACTCCTTCCGGTCTTTTGATAAGCTCCAAAATAAGCTAAAATTATCTCCTCCACCTCATTGTTTTCGAAAAATCTTTTCTTTAATGTCAACATTTTCTAAGCGTTTGAAAATCACTTTACCTAAGTTTTTATGAGCTGGGAAACAAAGGTTTCTAAGCGTGTGAAATCCCAAGGGCTAAGGCTTTGGGCCTATATATGTCAACAACAAAACAATATTTAAGTAATTTGCGACTTCGCGTGAGAAATGGAATTAGCTAATGTTTGTTTTCAACTAATTTATTGACTGAGATAAGTATGGCTCAACAAGACACTGGGTATTGTCCGGTTCACGGTATTCTTGATTTCTGACTTTAGTCATATTAAAAATTAAATTGATTCAATACAATCACACCTCAAAAATGATCCCTCACTAGCGGGTTCAATATCAGACTACCTCTTCAAGTATCAGCAATCCTGTAGGTTTAATAATCACACCAAATGCTTTGAGACTCTAGGTGGATGAGAGAGACTGAGACTAAGTACGCTTTAAAACGGATAAGTAAAGAATTAGTCAACTACCTCAACTTATGTATCTAATTCACTGAAACTAGATCGAGCATTTTCCGGTTTGATTTTGTTTAAAAAACGCCTTTTTTCGAAAAATGGTGGGAGTTCATTAACATACTAATGATGAATCTGCAATTAGTATATCAATAAAGCAGTCGATGCCACCATTCTGAGTATGAACTTATGGACCTCCCTACATGCGGATTTTAAGATAGAATTCAACCCGGTCTAGGAATTTGATGTTGTTTCATTAAAACAGTTAAAATTCCCATAAAATAGGCATACAGAGTTTCCTTATGAAAACAAAAATAAATTTATGACTAATTTTCGATTTTCATTCACAAAACCGATTTTCAGATTTATATACAATAAAAATATTAAAATTTATTGACACCGATAAACAGTTGTGAAATGGCATACAAAGTGCAAAATTGATTTATGGCGACCTCAGCAGCAGCACTCAGCGTTTAATAAACAGGTCTCGCCAAGTTTTTTTCCAATTGTTACAACAAATTTGTTGTTGTAGACTCTGACAAAAGCTTTGCAAATTACCTGAAAGAGATGGAAAATAATATAAATTAATTAAAACATTTACATTTAATCACAGCTCAGAACTAAATAAATATTTAATGTCTAATTTAATTATGTTTTTATTGAATTAATAATTTTATTTTTATATTTTTTATTCAGACCTATCGGCAAATAAAATATTTTACAAAATATTCAAATAAAACAACAAAACATTTTATTTATATTTTTTATGCAAAATATAATTATTTAATCATTTAACCGTTTTTCTCTTTTTTCGTTTACAGAGCACTCAACAGACGTCATTTCGTCTCATTACAATGAGCAAACGAAAGAAGCTGAGGGAGAAGTTCATAGCGTGATAACAGAAATAAAAAACTACCGTACAACACACAGAAAGAATCAAAAAACAAACCTTATTTAAGCACAGAACTACAGAGGTTCCTGCTCCCTGCTCCCACACACACAATCCAAAGACAATGGTACTCAATCTACTCTTCATAACAACTGTGATAAAGTCTACTTTCGGCGTAGTCACCACCGGCCTTTGGCTCATACCGCTCTTACTCGCCGCCATCACATACTACCGATACGACAGCGTCGATCCAGAGTCTCGTCCCATCGATCAACTGAATTTACATACCGAATATGATTTTATTATAGTGGGCGCCGGTTCGGCTGGTGCTGTGGTCGCCAATAGACTTACCGAAATACGCAAATGGAAGGTGTTGCTCATTGAAGCGGGTCCCGATGAAAATGAAATCTCTGATGTGCCTTCGTTGGCTGCGTATCTGCAGTTGAGCAAACTCGATTGGCAGTATAAGACACAACCTTCGAATAAGGCTTGTCTCGGTATGAAGAACAATCAGTGTAACTGGCCACGCGGTAAGGTGCTCGGCGGTTCGAGTGTGCTCAATTACATGCTGTATGTGCGTGGCAACCGACACGATTACGACCACTGGGAGTCACTGGGCAACCCCGGTTGGGGCTATGATAATGTGCTTCATTACTTTAAGAAATCGGAGGATAATCGCAATCCTTATTTGGCAAACAACCCATACCACGGACGCGGTGGACTGATGACCGTGCAGGAATCGCCTTGGCATTCACCGCTCGTTGCGGCATTCGTTGAGGCTGGTCGTGAGATTGGCTATGAGAATCGCGATATTAATGGTGAGAAGCAAGCTGGTTTCATGATTGCACAGGGCACCATAAGACGTGGTTCACGTTGCAGCACCGCCAAGGCTTTTCTACGTCCTATTCGCTTGCGTAAAAACTTCCATTTGTCGATGAATTCGCACGTCACCAAAATCGTCATAGAGCCGAGCACCATGCGTGCACACACCGTGGAGTTTGTTAAGCATGGCAAAGTGTTTCGTATACGAGCCAGACGTGAAATCATATTGTCGGCGGGCGCAATAAATACCCCGCAGATTATGATGTTATCCGGCATCGGACCGAAGGCGCAACTCGAGAAACATGGCATACGTGTGCTGCAGGATCTGCCTGTTGGCGAAAATATGCAAGATCATGTGGGCATGGGTGGTCTGTCGTTTCTGGTTGACAAACCGGTGGCGATTGTACAAGATCGCTTTAATCCCACAGCGTTGACTATACAGTATGTGCTACGTGAACGTGGACCAATGACCACGCTGGGTGGCGTGGAGGGTTTGGCATTTGTCCATACACCCTACTCGAACAAATCCATCGATTGGCCGGACATACAGTTCCATATGGCGCCAGCTTCCATCAATTCAGACAATGGTGCGCGTGTGAAGCAAGTATTAGGCCTTAAGGAGTCGCTGTATCAAGAAGTCTACAAACCTATCGCAAATAAAGACACCTGGACCATTATGCCATTACTGTTGCGTCCACGCTCTCGTGGTTGGGTACGATTGAGCTCCGCAAATCCCTTTCACTATCCACTCATCAATGCGAATTACTTCGACGACGACTTCGATGTGAAGACCCTGGTGGAGGGCGCGAAAATCGCGCTACGTGTTGCCAACGCCAAAGTCTTTAAACAGTTCGGTTCGCGCGTTCATCAACGATCTCTGCCGAATTGCAAGAAATATAAAATATACTCCGACGCATATTTGGAGTGCCAGGCGCGTACCATCTCCATGACGATTTATCATCCCTGCGGCACAGCGAAAATGGGACCGGCCTGGGATCCCGAAGCGGTGGTGGATCCACGTTTGCGTGTATATGGCGTACGCGGTCTACGTGTAATCGATGCGAGTATTATGCCCACAATCAGTAGTGGCAATACAAATGCGCCCGTCATTATGATAGGTGAGAAGGGTGCGGATCTGATCAAAGAGGATTGGCTACATAATCCAGAGTATCGTGCGGCGGCACCGAAAAGTTAGTGAAATAAGTGAGACAGGGGGGTTAAGTTAGTGAGACTATAAATCAGGGGCGTATGTGAGCTTTATTACAAACTAAAATATACCGTAAGCGGTGCCATTGAGCGTCAGATTTTGGTGTGATGCCAAGTGACGCTTTCTACCGTAGAAATATTAGGGCAAGTACTGTTAGAAATGTGTATACACATTTTTGAAATAAGTTTCTTAGTTGCTAGAACCATTCGAGTCATTTCTTTTTTAAGCGTGTCTTTTTTGCAACAACACATATGTAGTATGTAGTGATGCATAGTTTTAATTTATTTCTGCACACATTTTATTCATAAACACATTCCGATTCCATCCTTACCGATTAAATTTGTATAAGAAATAACAATAATTTAATGTATATATTATTTTAAGTTATTATAAGTTCTTAATTTACATACTACTACATATATCATTTAATCTTAGATTCGAATAAAGAAAAATTGAAAACTTTTTGGGTGAGTTGTTTTATTTGAATAAAGTTAACTTTGGACGATTGATGGTAAGGGCAAATTTATTATTATGAGTAAAAAATAAATAAAAAATAAATATTAAATTAAATGTTAATATAATTAAAATCAAAAATGTCAAGTGAATAAAAAAAATAAAATTAAAAAACAGAGCAAAAAAATTTAAGTTAAAGCAAATGAATTCACCAAAATTTAATAACATAAAATATAACAAGAAATAATATAAAGCACAATAAGGTAAGAGGAAAGAAAATAATAACTAAAATACAATAAAAAAGTATAATTCAAAAATGTCAACTGAATAAAATAAAATAAATTAAAATAGTGGCATATTTCGAATCTGGACTAGCAGTATCTGAAATTGCGAAAAAAAATTGAATTCAGTCGATGCGAGATGCGAAATTTCTTACAGAGCCCAAGGAATTATAATGCTTAAGGGGGGAACCTGGTTTAGAGAGTAAAAAAATCGATTTTTTGAAACTTATCTCGTGCGATAAGAAATATATTCGAAAATATTTGCACGAACTTTCAGAGTCAAATTCCTAATCGTTCCGCAGAAATGGCCTCTGAGAGACTATGCGCTCAGGAGACTGATAGGCGGTCGCGAGAACTTTGAACGCGATTTTCTCAAAACAGTGTTTTTCTGTTTTGTGCACACGATTAAAAAAGTTGTATTTTCATAAGTGAAACCCTTTTTTACAGCTAATAGTGTAGGCTTCTATGTAAACCTAAAAAATCACAATAAAATTTTATTAACTTTTTTCAATAAATTATCTTCAAATTTCTTTAGAAAAACGCAAAATTTTTTATAAAAACGTCAAAAAATAAATAATTTTATACATTTCTTCGAAAATGTTAGGTTCACGTAGAAGAGCAACCCCTAAGCTACTAAAAAAAAATATTTGTTTTTATGTTTCAGATGAAAACTATGATCGCTAAAGTGTTCACAAAATAGACTCTTCGAGCGAGAAGTGCCACAAAGAACTACGAATTGTTATTGCTTAACAGTATCAAATAAAGTGAGATTAAATTTTTTTGCAAGAATTGTGTATCTATGACCTATTTCGAAAGTACTTGAAACATTTCATACGTAAGGCAACCTAAAACACAGGGCCGCATATCATGCAATTTTCAGCGTTCTTAACCAGTTTCCCCCCCTTAAGGTCATTCGGTAGAAGATTGGCGCATTCTAACCGATATCAGCATAAAATCATTAACTCTACCAGGGCTTGTGCTAATTTGGTCACAGCTATGAAGAATAAAAGCCCAAAGCCACAATTTGGCGTACCCCACCGCTGACAGCATTCAAAGTTATTCAAATTGATGAAAGAATTTCATCTTTTGGAAAGGGAGAAGAACGCGCATACATCAATTGGAACAGACTTAGTTATTGTTGTAAAAGTTATTTTCTCAGCCGAAAAAATGGAATGCAATGAAAAATGGTTAATAAATATCAAATAAATAGTGAAATGAGTTAAAGTTAAACAAAACAACATAAATTAATATAAAGTAGATAACAAAAAAAAAGTTAAAATAAACAAAATCAAATCAATAAAATAAAATAATAAAATGGAAAATAAATAAAAAAAAAAAACAAAATAATAATGAAATAAAATAAATATATTTTTTTAACTAGGAGGGTGAGAAAAATGCACATTATTATTGTGCCATCACAGTAATGATATGTGTAACTTGCAGGTAACACCGAAATAACTACCCTCTGAGGTAGGGCCACCCACTCCGCATGACTTTCCTATTTATCATCGTGAAATCTACATCCGTGGACATCCAACCTTCAGTGCATGTCGTTTAGTTTGTCATATGCATAACAGCTCAGACTGTTTTGCCCATTTTTTTTTTTTAATATTTTTAGGAGTATTTTGAGGGCCAGGAGTTCTATTGGAGCACTTCCGCTTATCACTCGAAAAGCTTCGCCTGACACCTTACGGATTGTTTACGCTACTCCTACTGTTGCTACACGATATACTTTGGTTATAATATTAAAGCAGTTTTCTTTTGTTAGTGTATGCACCTATAACTGGGCTTCATAAAACAGCAGGATTTTGCAATTCGGACCAATAGAGTAGCTTTTGATTACAAATTATTCCTATAAACCTTGGTGTTAACCACACTCTATGCAGAGCTTTATTGCTTTATCTGGTAGCCCCCTTGTAGTCTCTTTGCAAATGCATCTTTAAAAGATTGTTTTCAGCCGTAACGCAGAGTTAATCGAGGTGGTCAAATTTAATCATGAAGAAAATGTACTTCCTCCCTTGCCGGTAGAGAGCTGTTTCTAATTTCTGCTGTCAAGGTATGCTCGACATCTGTTACCGTTGCTATTTCCAGTTTTGCTTGCGACACTGCAGATTGCAACGGTCGCTTGTCAGACTATTTTATAAATTATTTCATTTAATCTCATTTGTAATTCTACTGCAATCGAAGTAATAAAGGTGTGCATTCGCGTATACTATGGAACGTGTGTTGTTTGTTGTTTATGTTTATCAATCACTGCTCAATTACTTAATTGTAGCTACGCAGTAGTGTTGTACTACTAATTCACAAATTACCGATATGCACACGAACTTGCCTCAATATAATCTGTACAGTTCAAACAAGAATTAAAAATAGGTTATTGAATATAAATATAAAAATCTGAATAAATACGAACATTTCAAAATAATCCGATTATGCCTTAGATCATTCGAATGAATATATAAATGGACGAAAATTAATCTGAGTTCAATAATCAAATGTATTTGAAAAACTACCCTCGTTATTATTTTACTTAAAAGTTATTAAAATAGGACTAGTGAATCAATTGAGCATTTAAATTTGATAAATAAAGTAATTAAACATTTACGTCAACTGACTTTTCATAGGCAGGAGAAACCAATTACTTTCTTCTTTACTCAATGAGAAGCGAGTTTTAATATCTCTCGATCGGAAGTTGTCATGGGAAAAAATTGTTTGCAAAAAGATTATACAGATCGCAAAATGCTTTGTGTCTATCACAATGAGGTACTATAGGATACCTTGTATGCTCTGAAAAAGCTCTGAAATATCACAACAACATCATACAACTCCCGACCATCATGTGTCTTAGTGGTGTATTGCGAACAATTCAACTCAATATTCAACTGTACGTAATGCTTATTGACTTCAATATCCAACCTATCGCAGCGAAATCCCGCTTCCTATAGAAGACAGATCACTCCTAATTACTCACTCAAAGCCTAGACATGTCAAGAGTTCCACGTTCCATACCACGCATTCGGAGGTAACTCAGCATACTTTTCTCGATTATCTTATTATTGCGAGACTACAGTTGCAGCACTTTGGCTCGCACATATTGAGATATGTTGCCTTCCCGGACTCGTGATTGGCAACTATCTAACTATCTAGCTGTTTTCCTGGCCATACTAGGTCAAGTTCAAGCAGCCAGCTTATCAAAACCAGCATCAAAGCACTCAGTCGTGAAGCACCGGTCTCTCGGTTTTGAATCAATTTGCTTCCCAAATTGTCATATGACTGATATTAGAAATAAATAACCGGCAGAAACTTTACGCCGCTTTCTTGATAACCACATGTATTATTGGCATTTTCTTTGAAAGTTAACGAAATATTAAATGTCTCTAAAGCATTTTCATAGTGGATATAAGATCGAAAGGCAATACCAAACTCTAATACATGAAGCGGATCCCAAGCAATTCAAAAGACCCGCTTCCACCTCTCTTCATTTCTGATTTCTTACTTTTAACTATTAAATTAAGTTATTGAATATATCAAAAACGAGAGGATTAAATAAAAAATTAAGTTAAATTTCGTGATTGCAGTCGTCCCTCGGCAGGGAATGCAACCCCTCCGAGTGTCTTTCAGACATGAAATAAAGCCATCTGTCGACTGGAAACGGCTTAGTACAAATTGTAGGTCCCTCCATTTGTTGAAAAAACATTAAGACGCAAACGCAAAAATTGGAGTAGGAGCCTGGCCGATAAATCGCTTCAGCGGTACGTGGAACCATGCAGAAAACTAAGGCAAAAACATTCTATATATTTTTTTTCAGAACATTCCTGGAGAATTGACAAAATGTTCTCGTAAACCATTTCGGTAAAAACAATGTATACTCTGATATCCATTGGGGACTGTAATTGTATAATACGTAGTGATATTTGAGATGAGAGTAGAAGCATCGAAATATTTGGTCTGTAATTGAGAACGTAGGGCTGCCGTAGTGAGGTAATCCGTGCATAATGGGTTGTTTTACAAAATTCTGAAAAATATTTACATAACCTCCATGCCCCTCTATTTATTATACCTTTTATCCCGCCGCTTACCAATCAATGTACATACATATATAATTAGAATAAATTAATTACAAAGTTCATGACATTAGCATGATCAAGTGAGCCCACGTTATTATTACACGAATTACACATATTTAGCATTGTTGTTGTTTGTTAACAATTACAACTACAGCAATCAGTTTGTAATATTTCAATTGTTTATAACAGCAAACTTTAACAGAATTGACAAAATGAATAAAGTAAATGAATGCAGCTTTACAAATACACTTATATTCATTTTCATTTATCTGTATGTGAATTATTTTGATTTATTACAATATTTATATTTAATTTAGCGAGTTTATAGAATTTTTCTACTACATGGTTGGTTGATTACGTGGAAAATCACACACAATGACAATTCATAAATATAAAAAACACCCCATGCTTTAAGCAAGTCATTTGTCTTCAAAAGAGCGGGGGAAAATACTAAGCAATCAAAGTGTATATTCAATTGTAAAACACCACTTGAAACCGGAAATGTATGTATGTATGTATGCACGAGTATAATGATAATCACTTGCTATTGAAGTCAAGCTCAAAAGTATTTAATAAAT